ATCAAGACACGTGCTCCAGTTGTCCTCGATATTTTTACAGCGCTCTCCATATGAAATGAAGCAATCAACAGTTGATTTGCAATTCATGAGAATATTCCAGATATTTTGAGAGAAATAGCTGGGATGTGCTCTTTAATAGGGCAATACAGCTCTCTGATAGTAGCCTCATCTATAATTAGACATGTCAGAGAACCACCTCCCCAGTTTTTGCTTATCAACTTGTCGCTTTTTATCTTTTCTGGTTTAGACCAGCCTTCACTAGTACTCATTATAGATAGTAGATTTGAGCGAAAATCAGGTGAATACGAGTACTCTAGTTGGCCAGGAGAGTAAGCTCATGGTAATGGGAACATTGGACAAACAAAACCATACGGTGGCCAAACTTCAGCAAATCATTCTCCCAATTTGGCTAAATTTTCATATATTTCATAGCCTGGGTACCATCTGATTTGTACTGGCAACTCCCCAAAAATTTGGGGTTACCTTTACAAATCGGATGGCACCCAGGCTATATATTTGAGGCAGTATAGACTACTATAGTTAGTCTGGTTGAGGCTAGCTGGATGCCAAGAGATGGCTAAATATTCCATCCTCTCATCTTTAGTACTTTACTCCCATGTTACTGCACAGTAATCCAGAAGGAAATGTGATGTGTGAAGTAAAGCTAAGGATAAGACCATCTAAGGCTATCATAACGAATTTGGAAAGGCCGTTGTTCATCATGTATTAATAATATATAGCCGTTATTATCCAGGGGAAGGGATTGGTTGTGACAGCTGCCATACATGTATGTTGTGTGGAACCATTGAAGGTGAATTAGGACTGGTTCATCACTTCAGCCAAGTGCCTTTGCATTGAATCGCATTCTTTTTCATTTTCACAACCTGAGCTACAGGAGTCATTCCACCTATCCCTTATTTGACCATTGGGGCAACACAGAAGTAGCCTGTGTACCATCCTATTTTTTTGGAGTGAGTGTGGTAGCCCTGGCAAGTAGGACAGCACCCAGGCAAACACAGAAGATACACTATGGCAACCAATTTTCTCTGGTATGGTTCTGGTTTTGTAATGTCTTATTAACTTCCATTCATTCAGAGCTGGAATGTGAAAGATTTGTCAAAACTAGTTCAAGCAAGTTGCACCGTGTTGCATACATATCAAGACTTTTATTAAACGTCCTTGGCAAACTGATTAACCTTCTGCCTGCTGAAGCATTCTTCTGGCACAAAATTTGTTTTTTTTTACAGGCATAAGCAGCAGGCAAAAGGTTGAACCACTTTTCATGTAAGAAACGTCCCCATCAACAGTCTTTTTTTCTGGAATATTCCTGGAACGTGCGGAATATTCCAGGCCCTCCCCGCGACTGTTGCGTGCTCCATGCCTCTTTCATGACATCACCTGTTGAGTGCTTGCCAGTAGAAGTACCAAATGAAATTGAATATGCAGCGGTGTATTGCCATTTCATATTGTAAAAGCGGTGTAATTAGGTGTATTATATGACAGCCCAGCTACAATGTCACCACCCAATTTTGATCGTCCTTCGGATTGGATGTCTCATTAAAGTATTGTGTGCTTGGGGACCCCCGTGGGTCGGCTCGTTATGCTCCAATGGAGAAGTGATTCCTTCTCATCATCAGCCTCCCTTGCCTCATCTGTAGGGAAGTCTCTAACAATGCTGATCTGTATCATAGTTGCTCCCAGACTAACTATGCTGGTTGAAAAATTAGCCAGACAGGGAGCAGAGTTTACCAGGGGAGGTTGGCCACTGTAGGGTTTCATCTGCCCACACAGTTAAAAACAAATTCTCATTGCAGACAAATCTTGGGATATTTTTAACAAAAGTTAACAAAACAGAAAGCCAGAAAAACAGAATCCCAGACAGGCCTAACCCCTAGGCTGTGGATAGCCTGGCTTCCATCTGTGAAGGCAAGTACATGTATGCCTGCTCCAACCTACCTCCACCTAGGTTATAATATTAAGGTTCATAGTCCTACACCTGTTACAAACACAACCATAAACTGAAGTGAAACTGAAAGCACTGGCTTTGACCCTCCTATTGCGAAATTAAATACCCACAAACATAAAATAATCTATGTAGTTTGCGATTGAACCCAAGGTTCAAAGTTTGTCATGACTCATGGTGCACGTAGCCACATGGTCAGAATTCTCAGAAATGTGTCTGGTCTCACAAAAGGCAGATCCTGATATGGTTTAAAGCTGTGACCAAGTGAAAGAAAAATAAAGTTTTCCTTATTCCTGTATCTATCTGTATTGGTATAGCTGGTATAACCACCCTTCAGCATAACACCAGCTTCAACACACCAGCTCCTGTAACAGCATGTTGAGATGATAACTAGTGCAAAGTTTCTTCAGTACATGTTGATTTTATCAACAGTTGTAATGAGATAAAATTGGTAGTTTGCAGCCGTGTTCAATTAATTATCAAATACCAATATACCCCATACAGAGCTTGGAGTTCCAATTTAGAATGTAGCTTTTTTTAATACATTGTCCTCCAATGTAAAATGTAGCATTTTTGAAGATATATTTTTTCTTCTGTTTTTCACATGATAAACATAAAGTACAAATGCTAAGCTGCTTTACTACCTTCTCATTAAACTAAAAGGGGTATGTAGACCTCTATATTTACAGTCAGGCTTTCCATATGGCCTCCTTCAGTTCTGGACGACCCTTCTGCCCACAGTTGCGTGTGGAGCAATTGTTGAAACCGGTAGTGGGATGAAGTCTTTGCACGTTACCTGGTCATATCTTCCTGGCATGTCACACTACAGACAATCTGCCTGCTAAAATATTCATGATCTAATCCAGAAGATTAGTTTTGAAGAATGACATTACGTGGCATCGCAGGTGCCGTGCATATTTTCAGGGACAGATGATTCTTAATGTTGCCAATCTCGAAAGAATATTCTTTACTCAAAAATTTTTGCTGTTACATTTTCCCCATCATCCCTTTACCTTACGCCTTCTCCCGTCGTAGCTGCATGTATTCAAGCCCACTTTGACTTAATTTTATGGATTTTATCCTCACGTGCATGTATGTTTTTTTCTGGGTTTTCAAAAAAGGAAAAAGAAAATTATGCCTCCTTGGTCTACTCAGCTTTAGAATACAGGCATAGATTTGCGACGAAAGTTACTATAATTACAAGAAACAACATGTTGAACAATCCAAGAAAAGACAACTTGTTTGCTAGAACTGAAGTAGAAGAACATGAAGAAAGCATTTTTATTTTGGTGTATCACATATGTATTTTAAAGTCTAAGGTAAAATATAAAAATATCCTATGTGTTCAGTTATCATACTTTCCTAGCTGCCAAGTCTCTTTTGTCCTCTGCACTACTATTAATGGTTAGCAGGCTAGTATGGAGAAACACTTACTACCATCAGTACTGATATCTATCGGTATTGGTTGGGACGACCTTTCAGTTTCAACCATCTTTGGAAGGTTCCATTATACTCCTGTCTGAGGCCTGAGATGTGGATTAGAAATGTGACCAGAGCTAGAAACTTGAAACCTCTCAGGGTGTATATTGTGACTTTTTGATTGATTAGAAAGAAACAAAGTTACAACTTTTACTGGTAACTGTATTTGTGTCACTTGCAGCTATTATCCAGTTACATGTATATACATGTAGGTCATTTTCAAATTGGAATGGGAAGTTACTTTTTGTATAACCTGTTTTTAATGTCCACTCTGGTTTTTGTTCTTGTCTGAAGGACTAGCCTTTAATACTGTAAATCTTGAAATATTCGCAGCGGTTCTATTTTTGTGCTGATTTTTTCACCATGTCTTCATGACACATTCAATGATTGAACATGCATGTCCAATGTACATGTATTAATAAAACAGAATTACTAGTATATGAACTACAAATTTGAAACATAGTAAAAAAAAACCCCTTCACTCTCATCCCAAAATAAAACCACAGCGAAAGTAAATGCATTTTACAGTACTCCCCAACCAGTGGTTATTCTAATGGTTTTATTACCCCCTGAATGTGAAATCCACAGGTGTGCTGTTAGAATGGTACAGTAGTGGTGTCAGGACCCACCTTATGGCCTGTGTGCCATCCTGGTGTGTTAATGTGTGCACAGATAGTCACTATCCACCAGTTATTGCATTACCCGGTAGTAGTGACCATCAGAGCATGTGTATCTGCTGTGAGACTTATATAGCCAGCCAATATAGCCAGCAGCACAATAAAACCACTGCAAAAGTAAATGCACTTGCAATAATTAGGATTACAATTATAAGTTTACAAATTATCTTTTGTCACTAGACGTATGAAACCTAAACACATTGCAATACTTGGGACAAAATAGTCTTTGCTGCATGTTATTATGACCTCTGTAAGATCCAATTCATATATCCTTTTATGCCACCCCTGTTGACTTATGCTAAGTAATGTGTAGCACATATGGTATGTTATTATTAAAGTAGCAACACAGTAAAACCTGTTGCTCTCTTGTGGCGTTGTTGCCTTGTCAGAAATTATATGGGTTTATTTTCACCTGTGTATAGTACAGAATAACATTCGTGTGAGTAATTTAACAAGGTTGATTAAGAATTGTTGTCATAGAAATTCTTGCATGAGAAAACCCTGCACTCCCAGCATATTTGTGTGTGTCTGTGGAGCTGGTATTTATGTATACAAAAAAAGACTGGTATGGTTCAACTGAATGGTTGAAGAAGCCCTGCAAGGTTACTACCTGTTGCACACGTTTGTTAACCTGTCCTGCACACCTGGTGGCAGGTAACCCAGCCTCGCCAGGTACATGTAGTTCCCCTCCCCTGCCTGTGTATGATTACCTAAGGCACTCATGCCTGGCCAATTTTCATAACTGTTTGTGTGGGGATTTGCATGTGTAATTAGAAATGAATAGCGAGCGCGTGCAAGGTGCCCCCGATGCTATTGTTTAGGCTAGCGGGGCCTGCACCTCATTTGCAATTCTAATGGTGCCAAACGTCGTGTTCCCATAGGCTCGTGACTGCTGGGATACCTTGTAAAGAGTGGAGTTGATTGGCAGACTGCGTATAAAGCCAGAGCAGACGGGGTCCAGTTAGATCAGCGGACATCGAGCAGACCAGAAAACACTTGCGCACCGCCGGGCAGCCATGGATTCCGAACCGATCAACAGCGACGGTGAGACCCGTTTCCCTTCTCTTTCCCGTGTTTCCTTTTTCTCCTCCGCACTGTCCTGTATTGTCCTAAGAGCGGAAGTGTTCCCTACAACACGCTGTGCGCTCTTCAGCCATGTGTGTGTATACATTACAACCTCTCTGTGGTGGGAAAAGGTTCTGCTGCAGCTTGCTGCATGACGGCATGATGAGAAGGGAAGAAGATGTGGTGGTGGGTTTTCTGGGTGTTCTGTACAGTGCAGACATATTTGCCATGTGTGTCCCGAGCTGTTTGATGTACCATTTGAGCCCCACTGCCTGTAGAGTGCTCGTGCATTAGCGGGATGTTGAAACAGCAAAATGCATTTGCCTCTTCAATTCGGTAGGTCCATGCCATCTGGGCTCCCTGTGCGCAGGGAAAGTGATGTTTGTTTCACCCAGTCAGAATGAATACTTATCACTGTAGCTCCTGTTATCAACACTGGCCGAACAGACAATGCCCAGCGGAGCCATAGAAGATTGCCTCAAAGATGTGTTTAAGGATATCTTTCAAAACTGGTGGTGTAACTAGTAGCTAAATGCATATTTCAAAGGCTGAAGGTTCCAAGTAACATGGAGTGTTGATAATTAGAGCTTTCTCTCTTGTTTGATAAAATGGTAAGTTTATGAGGTAACATGCTTTGACCTTTAGGAAGATATTTCTTTGCGTTGTGTATACGACACGAAGCAGGATGGACATCCGCTTGGATCAATAGAAAACTGTAGATGGATATATGACAAGGAGCCATGTTTGTAAAGTATTTTTCCTGTTAGTTCATATCATCACGATGGATATACACGTAATTTAGAACAGACACACATGTCTAGGTCAATAGCTTTTGTTCCCTCTGTGTTGAAACTTGAAGAGTGTCCAGGAAAAGGCAGGGTCAGTTCAGGTTCTGAAACAACAGGTGCCCAGCAGGTGACACAACGGGCCACAGGTTTCCTCACACAGCACTCCGTTGCACATGCACCGGGCGTGTGCCCCACAATTCCTATGTTAATTTCTGTCATAGTAATTGGTCTGGGGGAAGGATGAAAAGGTGTATACACTGTAAAGAGCACCTGTTGCAACTGTAGGTATTGAAATGAGAATTCTTACACTTACAGCCTTCTTTTTTATCAGGATCTTCCCAACAAGCTAACTGATGAAAGAAGCATTTGGAAAGATTTTGTCCTGGTTGTAAACATGATATTTTGAGCCCACGAGAGAAAGATTCCCGGGAAAATTTTTTTCCATATCAGGTTTCTATTGTAAGACTGGAGGATAACAGGAGAAATCCCTCTGAAATTGGTATTGTATTCGGCTAAAAATTGGACCAAACCTGCAGCTCAAGTCTGGCATGTTTGACTGGCTGTGAAATTCATTTTTGAGCATAGGTGTACTGCTGTACCCAACCTAAAAATTTAGATCCATAATTTAGATCCACAACATAAAGTAGACTGTCAGCAAAACAATACCACTAACCTTACAACCTCTCATCAAAACTTGAATCCGAAATACAGCCAACTTCAAAATTTTAAACAAGTAATGCGTCATAGTAAAAATGTCAAGAATATGCTGTATACCTACCTACCTTTATACAGGTGTTCAATAGCACCTTTATGTATAGAACCCCACACAAATATCTAAATTCACCCACAGTCCAAAATCAGGTGCAAAGCTCCAATGTTCACAGAAAAGGTGCACAAAAGTACAGATGCGTCCAGTATTTTCAGCCCTGGGAATGTATGCCTGTCTTTTTACACATTCAGATGATTCTTCAGGTAAGCTTTTGGAAGATGAGACCTCTGGTAGATAATTTGTTTGCATGTTTCAAAGTGACCAACAGAATAAGTGGTCAGGGAAAATCGCTTGCTGTTATTTCTTACAACTTTTCAGTGGATGTTCTATAGTCTTATTGACATGAACCTGCTCGGATTCAGGCCAACCTGTGGGTGTGGTGCCTAATTTCAGTCATGTTTTAAGCATGTAATATGTCCCATACATCAGTATCAGAAGGCAACTGTCCCAGGTAGAGATTAGACTGCATGGCTGGTAGTCCATGTAAACATCTAACAATGGCGACCTGTTGCATTCTCATTCTGTTGGTTTAGACCAAGGCGAAAATAGAGAGAAAAACGGTAAACAGTTATTGTTCAAGAAAATTAGACATTTTTCAGTGTAATGGTGTAATTTGTTTTGCATGCAAGGTATTGGAAGTATTTTACATTGTGCCATAAACTTAGTCAGTTTTAAGAATATCTGGAAGAATCTGACATTGTTTATGATCTAAGAAATAGGTAGAATTAGGTGTTATGTTCATTCATGTGTTGGGGCTGACCAAAAATTGCTCCAAAATCGTCCTGGGCAATTGTTATCTGATCACCAGTTGATAGAGACACAAAACATGGCTTGGGTAATTGATATTGTCAGTGGCATATGGTAGCAGTCCATTGGGCATAATGGTATTGTATTAGATATTGTGTAGGTCCCCCTTTGGGGCGTATTCTTTCATCTGCCCTAATGCAGGGTTGCCCTCCCAATTCAATGTGATGTATTATAGCCATAGAATTGGCAAGATGAAGACATTACTGTTCAGCATATTACCTATGCTTTTCATTTGCTGACACGGACGATTTTCGTGGAAAATTCATAATTCAAATCAAACAAAGATTATTTACAAACTCAGTCACTGATGAAAAGTAGTGGATGCTACCTGAAACATCTGACAGTTTTCAAAACCTGTCCGGTTGCTTGAGGTACAATTTCTTGTGTATCTCATTACCTGGATGTCTAACCTTCATCAACGAACACAAAAGAATCATTTATGAAAGAATCTGTTTCAAATTTCACAAAACCTCTCCTTTCTTGTTCTTTAGTACATATATATTTGAGTAGTAGCCCCTGGTTTCTGTAAGTGTAAGTGAACAGAATAAAATTTCTCTCTGTTGATCCACTATCACAATTTTCAAGGCAAATTTGTCATTGAAATCAAATACAGAAGTCTTTATCAAAGAATCTGTTTTATAAAATTTGACAAAACCTTTGAGGTATACATGCAGTCTCTGGTATGAACAGATGTATCTGTAACTGAACAGAATAAAACTTCTCTGTGTCGTGTGCGTTCCCGTAGCAGAGTGAGGTTAGGATGAGAATTTCAGGAGCTGCCGTGGCTCGTTAACAAGCCTTTGATGATCCCAGCTGCGGTGATGAGGCCTGGCATCCCCGCCTCTCCTGAATTATGAATTTCAGGACGGGAGTGACACAATGGTGGCCTCATACATCATTCATGTCCACCCCTCCATTATTCTGATGATTTTCTGCACCAGTGGTGACACGGTGTCCGGTTATACAGCTGCGTTTTCATTGAACAAATAACATCTTCTTCTGGCTTTATAAGGGCATTCGTCCTAGATGGTGGTCTGCATGGTTCCTTGCCCACTGGTCTTAGCTGTAAAAGAAGGAATGAATGAATAAATGAATTTTTACTGAAAAATACTATTCATCTCAATGATAACATTTTGCTTGAGTTTCATTGCATTTCAAAAATGATTTATTGAGATTCACCACATTTGTGGAAGGATTGACATAAGATGTCAATACGAAGACCAGACTGAAATTAGATTTGGTATGTGCAGTTTTCAACAAATTTGTGAAGAGAGCGCGATTGAGTATTTCTGGCACATTTTGGAATACAGTGCCGCTAATTGCCCCATCGCAATTGACCTGAACAACCCATTATTAATTGGCTTCTAATGCATCATTAATGTAAGGTGTGCCCATTGTCACATCAGGTGCATGTGGGTTAATTCTCCCTCGGGGTGCTTTTGACATAATTGCAGGCTCGTGCGTACTGTTATCTCGGAGACAGAATACCGTTCCGTGTAAAGGTTACAGAGAAAAGATGGATTTTTCCTGGAGCAGGATAGTAAGGTTCCTCCATAGGCCTTCATTACCACTCTCCAAGCAGAGGTTAGTGGGGAAGATTGGGACCTTTTTGTCATATGCCCCGTTTTCCATTGCTACTCCTCCATTGAGGTGATTAGTACAGCCCCTTTTGGCAGTAGTGGTGAGGAGTAACAACAGAAAACAGGGCATATTATAGAAAGGTCACAGCCCTCCCCACCAACCTCTGCTTGGAGAGTATTCAAGGCCTTCTCTACCACCTGAGTAATCCCTTGCTAGACTGTTTCCAGGGTCAGCTCCTTAGTTATACTTGTAGGGCCAACATGCCCCCAAGGAGGTTATACCAGAGCTAGTATGCAATCGTACCTTTACGTACATAACCCTGCACAGATATCGAGGTACACCGGCACATCTGCGATCAGAAGTTAGGTGCACAGAAGTGCCTGTGCACCAAGAATTTCCAGCCCTCATTAAAAAGTATTTTCCCACTAATACCAGATATATTCTTTATCCTATCAGAAAAGAAGAAAATCTGATCAGATTCCGAAGGAAGGATTTTATTTTCCAGCTGAGTCCCTCCCGTGTCCGTCCTGCTGTGATAGAAGAATATTGTCCCAAAGTGATTTTTATCTGCCACACCGTGTTAACACCGTCCTGTATTGATCTACGAGGTACAACCACCATTATCACCAGCCAGTCTGTATGTACCCGATCCATTTCAGGGCGGAACACAATAGTTATTCAATTACCTGGCCCTATATTGATGTGGATAAACGCAGTGGCCGCCGAGAAAAGTGCCGGGTCAGGGGATTTAGCGCTGCGTTGCCATGGCAAAGGGCTATTCTTCCCTAGGCCGCTGAGTTGAAAGGAGATAAAAGTTGACCTTTATAATTCAAATCTGCTGAAATCTACTTGAGCAGGGCTGGGGGAAATGCTGCGTGATGTCGGCGTGGTTACTTTGGGATTTACATGAAAATGCAGGTTACAGGTGATATGTCTGCAAGTTGTCAGGACTTAATAGTAAATCAAATTATTATGTCTTAAAAGGTTTGTGATTTACTGTAGATTTCCAGAAAATTGATTCACCATGCAGCAGTGCTATGTAGGTAGGGAAATAAATTAACTGAGAGGTTAATGTCAGTAATATGGATTATTGTTATCCATCATTATCACATGGATGGAGGGATTTTTAAGCACCTTATCATGTCTTTATATTTCATATCTACCAGTTTTCTGTACCACCTCTAAATATCTTTTCCTTTTTTCTTTCATTTTTGTATTTTCATATCTGCATTCATTCATTCATTCATTCACTCATTTATTCTTTCCTTAGTACAATCGTCCCTGCTGGTTACATGGTATTAAGGGAATGGGTCCTGACACTTACTTTTTTCATACATAAATGCCACGATGGCCTTTGGTGAAATGTCACAGTGCAGGTTTATACAAAATGAGGATTTCAGTCTTTGCAATGTGGCTGGATCAATAAAAAAGTCTCTAATAAAAGTGAAATGTTCACAATTTTATCACCATGCGATTGTGAATTCCATGTAAAATTATGCTCCAGACATAGTCTTTCCAACATTGAAACCAACAACTCACATATTCAGGTTAACTGAGAGAATCAGGGGCTCTTTCCTGCCTCTCGGTCTGCTATTCTGTTTTCTGGTGATTGCAATACTGTGTAATAGGGTGTCCTACCAAAGTTTCCCTCTGACTGGGTATCCTACCAAAGTTTCCCTCTGACTGGGTATCCTACCAAAGTTTCCCTCTGACTGTGTAATAGGGTGTCATATCAATGTTTAGCTCTTGGGAACCTCCGCGGTGGCGTGCCTCTCAGCTTGTTCTGTCACTGTCTTTTCTGTGACTAATATTTGCTCCCCCTTCTTCTTACAGAGTTTAAACAAGAAAGGGATAGCTGGGATCAGGAAGGTACAGCCTTTCTTAATGTTTCACCCTGTGTATGCACTTCCTATGTCATCTGGACCACAATAAGCATTTGGTTAGAAAAAATGGTTTTCAGATTTTGGTCCTATTGAAAGACTTATGCGTAGTCCAAAACAAAAGTTACCCACATCCAAAAAATTCAGGAAGAAATTTTGAAAGGTCCTCATGGGGAAGTGTGTACGGGGTCTGTGAACTGCGTCAGTGGTTCATGATCATCTTAATTCCTCTTTAATTTGAGACTAATAGGCCACACCAATTTAATTTATTAGTTCTCCGATTTAACAAAAATAAGCTTAACTGGAAAAACGTAATAGAAAACAAAGGCTGATGACCAGGATTATGCCTCAGTGCACTCAGTTTATGAAGTGAATACAGTCATATTCATATTCCCTCAGTGCCCTCTGCTTTTATGATGACTGCTTACAATATTTTCACCTTAAAATTTCTGATAAGTGAGAACCAATGAAATAACTTGGTGTGGCCTTGGTGAAGTGCTGGTGATATTGAACTGTACAGCAGTGTTCTCACTCTCCTGACCTGCTCCGTAGGGAAGCGCCCAGCCGAGGATGAGGGGGGCCAGTCCAACAAGCGAGCTCGACCGCCACCACCGGTGGACCTGAGAATCCTGCTGCAGAGCAAGGTAAGTCTGTAGTCCCAACACAAGGAAAGTGGTGCTGCACAAAGAATAGAAAAAAGGAAAGACACTGGTTAACAACAGTAAGAAAAACATAGTCTGTAAGTTTTGTTTTATGTCTGAGCTTGAGCAAATTGACCCAATGCTAAAGTGTCTTGAAATTTAGTTCATACATCTATACTCAGCACAGAATACAAAGAATATCATTGTGAAGGGCAATAGAGCAAAGCTCTCTAGTGACATGTAACACAATGCCAATGATAAAGTAATGAGATATCATCATCTGTTGTCACGTTTCTGAACATTCTGTGCTGAGTTTAGTTTATCTATTACAGCAGCATGGTTGATATGTAAGGTTCTTTTTCCAGAATGCTGGAGCCATCATAGGCAAGCAGGGCTCAAACATCAAGCGCCTGCGTTCAGAGGTGTGTATCATCCCTTTCTCTACAGACAGCTTTAAACTGAAGCATCTTGAAGTAAAAAAGACCGAAGCATCTTGTTTTAATCGAAATTTTAAAAGTAAACGACTTGTAGATGCTGAGTACAGGCAATACTACACTACAGTAATATAATAAATGTAGATAACCAATTGTAGTTATGTCAACTCAATGATTTTTCATAATGTTACTGCTACAATGCTGTCTTCTCAGGATTCTTTTTGCTGCTTTTCTAACTTTCGTTCTTCTAGTTATTATTGGCTTCAGAAAATGTGTCCAGCATGCATTTGCCTCAATGTTATATTTACCAAATGTGTACGGTATAGTCAGTTGATTCTACATGTGAGTATACTTCATTAAGTTGGATGAAATAGCCCCTAATTTCGATATCAAGCAATTTTTATAAAAGCCGACCTAATTTCAATGATACTTTATAAATGAGTGGCGTTAATCTGGTGGTGGGTAGTCATGTGTTCAGTGTGTACCTCTGATCTTCACATGGATCTAGAGATCTGTGTCTCGCTCAGCTTTGTAAAGTTGTGTATCCTCTAGTCCTATATGACTCCAGCTAATGGCCTTATTTCTCCTCTCCCCTTTAGACAAAGGCCCGGCCCGCAAGCCCAAGCTAATGAGACCTTTGCCAATTTTGCAGCCCGCCCGTCCCGGGGACAATTATGTGATCCTCTCTCTCTCGTTCTTTACATCCAGTAGATTCTTTCTCCTCCATTTTATATCTATAGATGTTATACTGCCTTGTCCCAAACTATCAGTCAGAACTGCCCGTCATCTCCATCACCATTACACCTCTCTCTCTATCTTTCGCTCTTTAGTCCCGATCTCTTGTCATGTTTATGACGTAGCAAGTGTCCCTCGCTTGATTTCACACTCCGCTTCGTAAAGCTTATCCCGTTTTTGCGTGGGTTGTTGCAGCCGCCAGCCCGGGGACTAAGGTGCGAGCATCGGTGCGCCGCCATGTTTAATCCTCCACTAGACAAGGGTCCTATATCAGAGAAATGTGGGGCAATTATAGTTCATGTGACTTGTATATCCCCTCATTCTCACACACCCCCTTCCCAACCACCCCCCTGCAGCCATCCCCCTCGCTCGCTCGCAGCCCCCCACCCCCCTCCATCAGCAAGCGCAAGTGTGCCTCTTCTCTTTGTGGTCCACAACAACTGAAGTAACCAATGTTGCTACCATACAAACATCTCAACACCACCAGTTTTCTTTGAAACAAAATGTCAAAATGAAAGGACATTACAGTCAAACCTGCCCAAGAAGACCACTCGGGGGACCCATTAAAACCTGGTCATGTGGCCATGGACAGGTAGCCACTATAGACAGGATTCTGAATGCTTGTGTTAATAGCAAAATTATCTAAGGGACGAACAAATAATGGTCACATGGCCAGGTGGTCCTTATGCAGAGGTGGTCACTTGTACAAGTTTGACTGTAATGCTCACATATTAGACCCATAGTCAATAGTGAAAGGTCTCCTTTTCCCAAAGATATGTCCAGACCATTCATCCATAAATGACATGTTTGTCAATGCTACCATAAATGAGATATCTTCATTTTGGTTTAAACAGTATGTACCAGTGGCTTTGCTGAAAGAATATCCTCAAAATGTAACTCGAAATTGTCTCTAGTCTAAAGTTGGTTACTACAGTTGGGTATCCTGTCTCCGCCAGACCATGTGAATGCCGTTTGTTGCCGAAGCACTCTTCTTTTTAATCTCCCTTCCTCTACACAGAAAAGCCGCCACCTTCCAGAAGTCTTCCATGGTAGTAGTTGATACGTATCTCTCTCGCGTATGCTTTAATAAGTATGTTACAGTTATGAAATTGATGCCTAATTGACACTGGCCCTCTCTCCAACACTACCTCTTGTCCCCGACCCACAATGGAACGAACGTTGTGTGCCTCGCCCCGGCCTGGCCTGGTCCCGATTGATCCGGTCCGCTCGAAATCCGTTCTGCCCCGGCCCGGCCCGTACCATGTCTCCATCCTGCCCTGCCTCCACCACCACCACCACTACTCCAGTACAAAGCAACCGTTACCGTCCCTGACTGCACTGGCCCCGAGCGGTATGTCCCAGTGTGTAGGAAAAAACTTTTCTACACATGAATTATTTTCCTCACTCACTCTTATGATTTTTAAGTCAGTCATCCCACACTCACGGTTGGTATTAAAAACGGAGTTCAAGACTCGAACAGCAGCATAGTTGCTGATAAGGGGGTTCTTTTCTGGGCATGTGAGATGCGTATGCAGTGGAAAGTATCATAGTGCAAAGGAAAGACTTCCTGTAGTCCATCTCAACTGTGGTGTTGTAGTTGTTTCCATGTGGTGCTGTGACGGCTGTATAGCTTATTTTGTCCCAGAAAATAGAACCTAAAGAAAACTGTATTTTCTGACCGGTATCAAGTATTATCTTGCAGTTCACCTGTTGCTGTCGTTAAGATATTGACCAACAATCTCCATCCTCAATGTTATCCAAATAATAAGTAGCAAGGGTTTTCCAAAACTTTCAATTCTGTAATTCTAAACAAATCAAACCTTTCCAGTTCCATTTCTGTATTTAAATCAGTTCATTTCAAGTTTTATGGGACGTTTTTCCCTAAAGATCTAAAGAAAAGGCTAAAAATTTTACTCCACGTAGAATGCGTGTGTGTGTTCACTTTTATTTCAAGTAGAGGTACATGTAGTTGTGCAAGTGTGTAAGAAAGCGAGAAATGATACATGACTATTGTTTTTCTCCCATGTTCGCAGCATCCTTACCATATCGGCTGACTTGAACACAGCGTGTGACTGCCTGCTAGATATCATACCTGTGCTGGAAGATGTGAGTACTCGGGACAGACAATGCCAGATGTCTGGTGTCCTTTCTTATTGGTCAAACTTAATCATTTTATTTTTTGTCAACAGTACTGAAATATTCATAGTCTTGATAATGCTCCAGCCTCCAGGGCTCGAAATTCATTTAGGGACATGAATATCACAACATTTAAACAAAATAACAGGAAGATACTGCACAGTAGGTATGATAGTATTTTTACATACGTACATAGCCCGACACACAAATATCTATGTGCACAGATACACCCACGGTCCAAGTATGTCTGCACCTGGATATGATACTTAATTAAACAGAAGTATCTATGCACAAAATATCAAGTGATGTTAGTTGATGTTAGTGGATGTAATTAGTGGGACCGCTTCGCTAACATTGGATGGTTCTATTGTAGGCTGTCTCTCACCATTGCCATTACTCCCCACAGTACCAGCAGCACTACCAGCAGCACAAGGACCTGAACTTTGACTGTGAGCTGCGCATGTTGGTCCACCAGAGCCAGGCAGGCTGCATCATCGGCCGCGCGGGATTCAAGATCAAGGAACTACGGGAGGTGGGCTGTACTTCCCTAAGGGTCCTATTAGAAATGTCCCAGTGTTCTAGCTAACGTGGCTTGCATAGCTTGAGCATGGGGGCCCCCTACGCTGTGATTTGGACCCCTGTGCTTTGAGTTGGACCCCCACTTTGATTTGGATGCCCAATGCTGTGATTTAGGCCCTAACACTGTCTTTCAACCAGCGAAGGGGTGTTTTTCTTACTGGGGAGAATCCTGTGTCCCATTATGTAACTTAACATTTTGCTTTGGAATAATGCTGTAACAGACAGAAAACTTAAAATTTGCCCCTCAAAATACAAGGATGTAACAATCAGCCACAATTCACAACAATCCAAAGAATACTAGTAGCTAGTGATATCAGTCGTTCATAATCTTTGTCATGTTTTGTTTTTCAGCAAACTGAGGCAAACATCAAGGTGTACTCAGAATGCTGCCCAGGTTCCACGGAGAGGGTTGTTGCATTGACTGGTATGTAGTGCGATTTGATTTTATATGTATTTCTGCAGTACTAATGTAATTCATTTTCTGTTCACGGTAGCAAAAGTTCACGGTCTGAGAAAAATGGACATGTTCACGGAACTACATTATCATATTCACGGTGGCGACAGGTGCAGGAAAAAGAACGTCCAGGAATTTTGTTAACTGTAATGATAAGTGCACGGTACAGAAGTGACAGTGAAAACAGTGATCATAACAGTACAGTGAAAAGGTCAGGAATTACAGTATCTCTGATTAAACTTTAAGCTTGTTAGGTCAAGAATCAATCTGCTTGATTGTTTGTTTGTACAGGAAAGCCAGAGAAGTGTATTGGTGCCATCAAGAAAATCATCGAACTGCTGCAGAAAGTAAGAATCCTTCTTGACAAGTTATCATTCTGTCGTTATTAGTCTTTTCTGTCTTTTATGCACTAATTCCATGTGAAAAGTAAAGCACTTGACCCTTGATTGCAAGCTTGTTGGGAAGCACTTTACTTTGTGTTCAGTTGTACAAATTCTTGATAATGTCAATTTCATTTTGTGTTAATTATCATCTTTTTCAATTTTTTTATATTCTTTATTGATTTGAGTAGAAAACATTGAAAAAAAAGGAATTATAAAATGAAAAAATTAAACATTCTGTCTCTTTGCCTTTGGTCTCCAGGCTCCCATCAAAGGTCCCAACTCGCAGTATGACCCCTTCCTGTACGACGAGTTCTACGCCGCAGAGTACGGCGGCTACACGTCGTATGACGACACCCGCGGCGGCCGTGGTGGGGACCGGAGGGGCGGCTTCTCCGGGCGCGGCGGTTCCGGGGGCGGTCCCAGAGGACGCGGCGGCCCGCCCAGAGGCCCGCGGGGCGGCATGTCCGGACAGCGGTCCGGGATGGGAGGTTCCATGGGCCATCGCGACCACGACTTCCACGGCGGCCACGGGGGCGGAGGGGCCGGCGGGCCACGCGGTCCCCGCATGATGGGCTCGGAGATGAGGTCTGGCCCCCCACCCGGCAGCAGGGGCATGGGAGGAGGAGGGGGGCCGCCCCCCATGCGCAACAGGGGGGGTATGATGTCCCAGGGGGGTCAAGGAGGCAGACCTGGCATGGGTGGCAGGTGGGGAAAGTTTGTCTTCTTATAAAACTGTCTGAGAGTGCTGTTTCCTCTGTGCTTTTCCTTGGAGATAGAACTTAGTAGAAGGAAACCCTGACACTAATTTGCCCTGACACTAATAAAACAAAAAGAGAACAGTGCTGTCATTATGATCATTTGTTGAAATGTTATTCTATGTTGAGGTTGAACTGCCTACAGAAATCATTGAAAACTGCCAGTAGGCGACATTTAGTATAACCTGGCAAAATCAAAACCTGAAGTTTTTCTGTCCATGCAGTGACCGGATGGGCGGCTATGGCGGTGGTGGCCGTGACTTCACGCGGGACGACTACGGAGGTGGCAGCAGGTTCGGCAGAGACCGGGATCGTGACGGGATGGGAGGTGGCGGTTATGGCGGCGGCGGTGGTGGCTTCAGATCAGGCAATGATGGTGAGAAGTTGATTCTTGTTGAATGGTTAACAGTAGGGCTGTGGACCTAATACCAGTATCCATAAAATTGTTTAGGTACAGGCCCCAAACTCTGCTGTACCTGTACTTGTACAAAATAAAACACTAGTGGGCCCCCTCTTTTTACACTAGAAATATATTGCATCTCAAATTTCAATCCTCAACAATTTACCACTAAAATATACATATGGCTACATACAGATCTTTCAAATTAATTAAGTTCATGTTCATAGTTTTGCAAATCAAACTGCCTTTGTTTTTCTATTTATATCTGACAATGAAATGAATCCACTGTACAACATTTTCTTCCTGACAAAAACTACAGATTTACAGCAAAGGGTATGAATGATTTTGGGACATGAATGATTTTGTTGTTGACCATCCAAGCCTGTGCTGAGAATATGTGCCAGTGCAGCAGAGGATAGACGTCCCCAGGGAACCTTGTCGCGTGTTGAAATTTTAATGGGAAAATCCAACTTCCAGAGAGATAAAGCCTGGGTGATTGAATGTGTGCAGACAGAATGGGGTGGATGGACATGTCCTGGGGGACAATAGGTTGACCTTGATAAATTGTAAGGTGCAGTGTGATGAAATGAAGGTCCGTGTCAGGAATACCTGTCAACATCCCCGTGTCTCTTCTGTCCTGCAGGATTCAGCGGCGGAGGCAACATTAACTCAACACAAGTCACAATTCCTAAAGAGGTGAGCTTTTGTTTCATTTCACCCTTACCTATAAAGCAAACAAAAAAACAATGTCCAATGTCTTCTTTTACTTGCAGTGTAATGAATACTGGTAGTACACTTTTGCTGCTGATGTGTGTTTGCCAAATGTGTTTCTACCATTCCTTCTGGTAGGCAGTTACAGTTAAAAGTACATTAAATCTTATACACACACACCCATGCACGCACGCAGCACACACACAAACATACGCACACACGCACACACACATGCGCGCATGCACACACATATATTTACATAGTGTTACATACATACATATATATATACATACATACATATTATACGTACATATGTATAAGATGATATATATGTGTGTATGTGTTTTAACTTGTAACTTACTGACTGTAGGAATTTTGTATTCCTCCTAAGGTTATCCCTAACAATACCTACCTGCTAGTTCAAGTAGTAGTTGGGCCACCTTGGCTGTATCTATGTATATCAGCCAGACCGATTAACACTAACAGAGACAGGAGGACATACTAGTAACCTCAACCCTTCTGTCCCCCCAGCTGGCAGGTTCCATCATCGGCAGAGGGGGGTCCCGCATCCGGTCCATCCGGGAGAGGTCGGAGGCACAGATCAAGATCGACGAGCCGCTGCCCGGCTCCACCGACCGCATCATCACCATCTCCGGCAACGACGACCAGATCCGCAACGCGCAGTTCCTGCTGCAGAACAGGTGAGCGGCTCGGGGAGGGCAGGGGGTCCTCTTGTTTCCTGTGAGCGACACCATCCATTTCACCTCTACTGTTTTGCCTTTTTGCTTTGTGTTTTTGGATTGATTTTTTTTTACTTTCTGGGCCCCAGTTTTCAGATGTTTGTTAACTTTGTAATCTCAGACAATTTTGCCGACCAGCTCTGACCTGTAAGGTTGCTGTTATCCCTCACGACCTCAATGAAAAATCGGCCTGCAGGCAAATTTGAGCTTCTCGTGAATAAACAATGCTTCAAGCAAACAAACAAACAGACAAACATTGCTAGTAATATTTTATTATGAAATACAATCATCATGATACAATCATCATGATTATGAAATAGAGATTTAGAAATCACAGAGATACCAAAGATTGCCAGTAATATTGAATTAGAAAATGCAACCATCATCATGATGATTATGAAATACAAATTAAATTTTCTATTCTATAGTATTGGAGACTAAAGCTGAGAAACTGCAGACATGAGAATGAACAGCACCTTCCTGTAGTGTCAGTGTTGGTCTGCTGAGCCCCGCCCAAATTGGGACACGTTTCTCATCCAGTTCAAAACAAGACTTGGATATTTGATGTCCTCCACAGCAGACAACCGGGCCCTTTTTGGCACACAGGGTCGAACGTTCCCCAGCTCCTGTCTATGTGCTGTTGTTAACTGTAGTGTGAAACTGGGGAGGACACTCTGTTGTGGTGCAGCTGGGAGTTGGTTCTACATGGTGTGGGGAGCTCAGTTCAGTGAATTTATTCATTGTTGCAGGGATATAGAGGGGGAAAGGAAGTTTCAGAATGATTTCTACCACCATAGACAGACTTTGGGCTATGCAAAAATGGTTACTCTTTTGTTTTCTGTTCACCTTATTCTCACAAAGAGTAACACCCTTTGGAAACAACATGTAATTTATAACCAGAACTCAGTTGATTTTAAATATGGTGTGAAAACAAGCTATGCACTCAGCTTTGTTACACTCCTCTGTTTATTACAACAGCTCCAGTTGATAAAACTGGGTGCAAAGTCACTTACAATCCATGTAGAATCCCAACTCCACGGCTGTTGTTTCCCCCGTGTGGTATGCTACTGTATACGTGTTAAGTTGTAAAAAAATGTGTTGTGACAGAATTTTGCACGTATCTATCTTCATTGTAGTGTGCGAGGCGATTCACTGATGGGAGATCATGGGTACTGAAAAGGGTCATGCGAAAGAACAGGTTTGTTTCCACCAGTGTGCAGAGGTTGTGTGCTGTTTATTTTTTCCTTTGTTTTTATTTAAAGATCCTCTTCTTCAGTAAAAACAGTTGTGCATGATACATGTATGTTAATTGTTGTCTGTGTATGATGTTC